CCGCGTGCAGGCGCCGCCGGGGAGCGCAGCCGTGGCCCTGGGCCGCTCCGCCTTCGGGTCTGCGAGAAGCGCGGTTTCTGCTTCTGGAAAGTGCTCGGTCCCGGCGCTCGGGGACGGCGGCGCGAGCAGCGAAGCCGGAATGCCCCGGCAATGGCCGCCACGGCGCGTCTCCGACCCAGACCGCTCCGTGCGGACCGGGGTTGCGCCGAGCGGCGGGCGGCCTGGGGCGGGCGGCCTTGGCTTCTCGCGGTTTCCTCCTCCGGGCCTGGGCGGGGTTGCCGTGCCCGCGGCGTCACAAGGGCCGCGGACTGGGTGGCTGAGACAACGGAAGTGCGTTTTCTCACAGGCCCGGGTGTCAGAAGTGTGCTTTCCCCGGAGGCCTCCGCCCTGGGCTTCCAGACGGCCACCTTCTTGCTGTGTCCTCGTGGTGGTGTCCATCCACGTGCGCATGCATCTGCGTGCTGCTCTCTCTCTCCGCCTCGCCCTCTCTCCCTCTCGCGTCGAGTCTCACGCTGTCACCCGGGCTGGAGTGCAGTGGCACCATCGCAGCTCTCCACAGCCTCAGCCTCCTGGGCTCTGGGGATCCTTCTGCCGCAGCCTCCTGGATAGCTGGGTCTGCTTGCGCACAGCACAGTTAATTTTTTCTTAATTTTTCGCAGAGACGACATCTCATTATGTTGCTCAGGCTTGTCTCAAACTCCTGGGCGCAAGCAGTCTTCCTGCTTCGCCTCCCAGAGTGAGTGCTGGGACTGCAGGCGTGAGCCACCATAACCAGCCTCGTCTCTTTTATATTGGGTTTGGAGCCATCCTGACAGCCCCCTTTTCACTTAATTACCAATTTAAAGTCTCTACCCCCAGGGTGCGGTGTGGTGACTCACACCTATAATCCCAGCACTTTGGGAGGCTGAAGTAAGAGGATTGCCTGAGGCCATGGGTTCAAGACCAGCCTGGGCAACTTGGCTAGACCGCATCTCTACAATAAATCAAAAAATTAGCCGGGCATTGTGGCCCATGCCTGTAGTTCCAACTACTTGAGAGGCTGAGGTGGAAGGAACAGCTGAACCCAGCAGGTTGAGGCCATGGTGGCTGTGAGTGTGCCACTATACTCCAGCTTGGGTGACAGAGTAAGACTCTGACTCAAAAAAAAAAGTCCCTGTCTCCAAATACCATGAGGTACTGGAGATTAGGGCTTCAACATAGGAATTTTGGAGGGACACAGTTTAGCTCCTAACAGGTTGTTATGAAGACTAAATGTGCTGATATACCTGGCCCTAGCAAGTACTACCTAAGGGTTGGTTATCATCATTATCAGTTTGCAATAGCAAGTAAGAAATAATATATAACAAAAATGAAAACTTGACCAGGCATAGTGTAATCCCAGCACTTTGGGAGGCCAAGATGGGAGGATCACTTGAGACCAGGAGTTTAAGACCAACCTGGGCCACATAGCAAAAAATAAAAATAAAAATTAGCTGGGTGTGGTGGTGCTGTGGTGGTGCATGCTTGCAGTCCCAGCTCCTTGGGAGGCTGAAGTGGGAGGATTGCTTGAACCCAGAAGTCTGAGGCTGCTGTGAGCTGGTCAGGCCATTCTACTACATCCTGGGCGACAGAGAGACACTCTGTCTCCAAGCAAACAACACCTAAAGCTTAAACTTCCTATTTCAAAATGTCGATTCACAGGAAGTTGTGCATGGTGTACAGGGAGATTCCCTCCCTGCCCCTCACCTCTCCTGCCTGGTGAGCGTCCGGTGTGGCTACAGCCAGGAGCTGACACTGGCACAGCCTGCGGGACTCACTCAGACTTGCAGTCACTCGTGGCATGTGTGTATGTCCGTGTCTGCACAGTCTGTCACTGGTGCGGCTTCTTGGAACCACCATAGCCAATATGCTGAGCTGTTTCCAGCACTCACGACTTCTTCCTGATGCTCCCTTGTTGTCTCTGCCAGCCCCCCCCCCCACGTACACCAAGTTCTAATCCCTGTTCACCCCCACCTGTTTCCTAGCTGGGTCATTTCATTGCTTCAAGAATGTTTTATATATGGGCATGTAAGTGTGTGTATGTATATATGGAGTCCCAAGGCCCACAGCCTTTAGAGATTGCCTTTTTCCTCAGCACAATTCCCTTGAGGTCCGTCCAGCTCTGTTGCGTGTGTCAACAGGCCATTCCTTTTTGCCGCTGTGTCGTAGTAGTCCACGGGGCAGATGTTCTACAGTTTGGGTAACCATCTGTTGAAAGACATTAACTTTGCTTCCAGTTTTTGGCTATTATGAATAAAGCTGCTTCCCATGAGCATTTATGAAGTTTTCACACCAGTGTGTTATTTTCCCTCTGGAATAAACGCGCACAAGTATTAATTGCTGGGTCCTGGGATAAGTGTTAAGTGCGTTTGAGTTTTAAAAGACACTGTCAGGCAACCCCCTGGGGTCCCTTCCCACTGTGGGAGTTTTTCTGTTCTCTCAGTAAATCCTGCTTTCTTAAAAAAAAAATGCACTGTCCAACACAAAGGCCACACCCTTTTCCGTTCCCACCAGCCAGGCCCAGGTGGTGTGGTGACTCTCCATCCTTGCCAGAAGTTTGTGTCCTGTTCTCTAGCCACTCTGGCAGGTGTGCCGTGCAGTTGCCTTGTGGATTGCGTGTGCATTTCCTCAGGCAAATGAGCAGAGTGTCTTCCCCGGCGCCCAGCAGCCTCTTCAGCCCTCTCCAGGGAAGTGTCTGCCTTGTCTCCTGCCAATGGCTGAGTCCTTTGGAGGCGGGTCTGTGCTGGCAGATAGCTCCTTCTCATCGGAGCTTGCCTCTTCATCTGCTCACAGGGTCTACCTGAGTAGAAATGTCTACCGTTGAGGAGGCCTCGTGTGTCGGCTTTTCCTTTACGGGCTGAATCTTTGTTGTCAAGTCTAAGAACTGTCTGCCTCGTCCTAGGATGTAAAGATCTTTCTCCCTTTTTTCCTGATAGTTTAATGGTTCTGTGTTCTGCATTCTTTTTTTTTTTTTTTTGAGTTAGAGTCTCACTCGGTCACCCAGACTGGAGTGCAGTGGCCGCTCCCGGCCACCGCAGCAGCCTCGACCTGCTGGGGTCCGGCGATCCTTCCGCCTCAGCCTTCCAAGTAGCCGGAATTACAGGCATGCGCTACCATGCCCGGTTGATTTTTTGATTTATTGTAGAGATGAGGTCTCGCTGCCCAGGCGGGTCTTGAACCCGTGGGCTCAGGCAATCCACTCACCTCAGCCTCCCAAAGGCGTGGGATTACAGGCTGAGCCACCGAGCCCGGCTTGTTCTACATTCTTAATACACTGTGCGTTCATTTTTTTAATAAGGTTTAACTCAAGGTTTTTGTTTTTAGTTTTTGCCTGTGGCTGTCAGTTGTTCCAGCACCATTTATCGAAATGTCTCATTTTCGAATTTTCTATTGAGTTGTGTAGTTTTTGGCATCTCTTCTGTACCTCTGTCAGAAGCCTGCTGGATACATTTGTGTGGTCCTGCTTTCCTCAACTGGAAAAGGATAGGATGTACTAATGTGGATGCCTCACCTGGGGAGGTGCTGCAGGAGTGTTGGTTATTATTGTTGCCACTTTACAATAGCAAATAATGACTTAAAAAGCAATTGGATACACTCAATGACTGTCTTTACTTCCCAATCTTACCTGTATTTTATTGTATTTGTTTTTTAGAGCCGAGTCTTGCCCTGTTGCCCAGGCTGGAGTGCAGTGGCGCCATCATAGCTCACTGCAGCTTTGAACTCCTGGGCTGAAATGGTCCTCCCCCCTCAGCCTCCCAATTATCTGGGATTACAGGCAAGTGCCTCAAGTAGCTGAAACCACAGGTGCGCACCACCATGTCAAGCTAATTTTTTAAATTTACTGTGGATACGAGGTCTTGCCAAGTTGCCCAGGCTGGTCTTGAACCCATGAGCTCAGGCAGTCCTCTTGCCTCTTCCTTCTAAACTGCTGGGATGCCAGTCGTGAGCCACCAGTGGCCTGATGTCTTCTGAAAGGTCACAAATGCCTGTTTCACCTGAAGCCTCTGGCTAGCCCCCTCAGTAGACAGCGGAGCCCTGCAGGGCAGGGAGTGCTTCATACTTGTCCTTGCTTAACTATACTTATCTCACGATTTTACAATAACTTTTGGGACCCTGTGCTTCACAAGAAAATGAGGGGATTAAATAATGGTCGATCTTTTTCCTTTTGGCAAGCTACACATGCCTGAGGGATAACAGGATACATGGAGACCCACTGCTGTACGCTGGACAGCTCATTTCTTTTCAAGGTTATTTTATTTTCCCCTCATGCCATCTTGTCTAGGAATTCAGTTTATTTCATTGTTAGTAACTTCTGCTGAGATAGGCTTTTTGGTTCTACCACCTATATTTGTCACTCTTGTTGTTTCCTTTTGAAAAGGAGGGCTGTTGGGTGCTGAAGTGGATATTTGAAGTTCACAACTTGGCTTATTAGTATCCTCGAGGGAAAAGGCTCCATGATAGTGACACCAAGGACGGCTCAGTCTCTTTCCTTGGCCCCTATGCATGGTCACGGTGTTTTGACATGCAGTGAGATGTGCCTCCCTCCAGCTTTTCTGCCATCTGACATGGAAAAAGAAAAAAAAATCATGAACAGCTTATTTTAAAACTTCACACATAGAAATATTCTATTTAAATTAGTGTGGAATTCCTATGTAAATAAATCTCCTCTTTCCTTTTTAAAAACAACGTGGTCAGTTTATCACTGAGCTTTATATTATTGTGGGAATTGATCTTTTGCTGATTTATGTCACTGGGATACATGATTTGATTTTATTCTTCCTAGTTCTGCTCTATTATTACCATTTTTCGATAGAAATTAGTCCTTTT